GGGAGCGCCGCCACACTTCCCAAGCGGCACACTGTAGCAGTGCGCCACCGGGCCGGCCCCTCCATATTAGTTTCTAATTAACAGACTTGAACTCCTGGTCCATGTATGCATATTTTCTCAATCAATGGATACAAATTCTATTGTTTGTATGCAGAGGTGTTCAAAAAACTAACTTTAAAAAAGGTCCTCTTAATACTCCAATATTTGAAAACCAGCACTTTTTAGCTCGGGTTCTCAATTCCTGCCGTACATGGGAATCATCAGAGGGGCTTTAAAAAAATTCCAATGGGGGGAGACAGGAAGACTCATCTTAGAACCATTAAATCAGAATCTCTTGGGGAAGGAGGGAAAGATCCAGGTACTGGTATTTCCAGGGCTGAGTACTGGTGTTGGTATCTGACTATCTGGCACTGGTATTTCCAGTATTGCCAGAGTTGAGAATCAATGCTCTATATGATTAAGTCATTAGACTGATTCTTTTTCTCTGCAAACTTTTCATACCAAAGTTTTCCTTACTCCAAATAATAGCAACAGTAAAAATGGTTTAAAAAATAGTAACAACTTTTAAAACGTATTTACCATACTGCCAGGCCCAGTAGTAGGTACTTCATGTATTCTGTATCTATTCCTCCCAAAAGCCATCAAGGTGGTGGTATTCTCACTTACGGATGAGGACAGTGAAGCTCAGAAAGGTCAAAATCATTTGTTCTGGGTCATAAAGCTAATAAAAGATAGAGCTGGAATCTGAATTCAGGACTATGTAAACCTGCCTTTGTTTTTCACAGGATGCCTAAGCAGTGAAATGAAAAACTAATGACAATAAGCAAAAAATTCCAGTCTGAAACTTACACATCACAATGTGTGTTGTCCATATAGTTACCGTGAATAAGAACAGTGCTCATCTCTGGATGACCTCTTGCCACTACTTTTCACAGCAAATTATCTACACTCTCTAAAATTAGCTATTTTAATATAGAGCTCCACCTAGTTTTGACCAAAAATGGAATTACCAAACATGATCGATTATTATTTTTATTTTTTAATCAGGCTTAGCTCTGAGCCTCAAGGATGAAGACTCATCCAATCACTAAGGCTAATCAAAAGAATGTGAATCTGGGTTCTAACTCCCAAAATGTTCTTAGCAATGCTAATGTCCTTGGACTAAGAGATACTTTTTTAAGTGTTTCTTTTAAGGTAATGTCATTAACCTACATTCTAGTCTTATGTTACAAGAAATAAAACTAAATGGCAGCCAAAACAGATTACAGTCATATCTTCTAATTGGGATGAAATACCCAGTACTTACCTGTTCACTCCTTTGGGACAAGTAATGAATGATTTATTCTAGTATAAAGACTAGAGATATAATTTTCTCAACTACTGTGTAACACCAAAAAAGAAGAAAGGCCAATAATTCTGATCTTAATTGCAAAGCTGAACAGGTGTTGAATACAGATTACACTAGAGGCTTTATCTTAAAAATTACTGATGATGTGTTCTGGGTTGATATATAAGTAGAACACAGTGAGAAGAAAGTCCACTATTAGTGTGCACATACTATAATCATGAATCCTCTGCAAATAACGTAAATATCTTTGAGTTAAAAAGTGAGTAAAGTTTCAAAATAAACATTTTAATAAAGATTGAATTATTCTCGTCCCTTTAAAGAATTTAACATTGGTTTAATCTATATACAGAAATTTTTAGAACAAATTTCTGTACTTAAAAGAGTCATAAATTCTATATACAGTATTTTGTTTTTTCTTCCATATTTAATAATTGCTGAAGACTCACAGCATAATGAGCACTGAATAAACAAATAGAAAGTACTTCCATCTATTGGCAAAGTAGAAATATCTGTATTATTTACTCCTGGTTTAAAGTTTTAACACCAGAAATTACTTTAGATAAAGAGAATTTGCCATTAAGAGTACTGTGTAACACCCTTCAAGTTGCCAGTTAAAACAAATCAAACAAGAACTTCTAAAAGTTAGCTTCTTTGAGTACTTCTATTGTCAGGCAAAATACTTATCATCTACTTTAAAATCAAGTACATTTGGATTTAAGCCACAAAATGTGGCTTTAAATAATCAAAAAATAGAGAAGTGGTTCGAATCCTATATATTTACAATTTCGATTTCTATGTTATAAAAATGTCAAAAAAACGTTTACCTCTGCAACTGTCTCATCAATTGATTCAAAGCTTCTTGAAGAGGTGTTTGTTCTACTTCTAAAGCAAAGAAGAAAGGAAAAGGGTGTTTTAAAAAGGAAGACTCTAGAGAGTACTATTTAGCTTTCTATATGATTTAATTTATATCACTATTAAATATCTCATACAGAAATTCTATTCATTTAAAAAATGTTAAAGTTTTTAAATATCAATTTAAAACTGAAGCTAATTTAAAGCTGTTATGCAGTGAGAGAGAGAGTACAAAATTAAAAAAAAATTTAACTAAAAAGCTTTTAAACTTTAACTTAGAAGCTAAAACCCAGTCACCTTCCCTGGGTTGATTTAATTTATATCACTATTAAATATCTCATACAGAAATTCTATTCATTTAAAAAATGTTCAAGTTTTTAAATATCAATTTAAAACTGAAGCTAATTTAAAGCTGTTATGCAGTGAGAGAGAGAGTACAAAATTTTAAAAAAATTTAACTAAAAAGCTTTTAAACTTTAACTTAGAAGCTAAAACCCAGTCACCTTCCCTGGGTTACAACAATTTCAGCCTCCTCTTTCAGGATAGTTAATTTAGAGTTATTCCAACCTTCTTGTTTGGCTAAAGAGCTTGTGAGAGGCTTCTCAGGAGGTAACTCTAACTGTACAGGGGCATGACACTGGAGGTCTTTTTCTGCCTCATTCTCCACACGGTCTCGATCTCGCTTCTTTTTATCCTCCTAAATGGAACAGAGAGAGATAATTTAGAAATATTTCAGAATCAATACCTTTAAGTACACAAATTATTTTAATTTCAGTGGGAGGAAAAGACACCACTGAAAAGAAAATATTCTTATTAACAAAATCTTAATGTATTTTACTGCCATCTACTGGAAAAAGAAAATCACATGCTCATCAAGAAAAAGAAAGTTTATGCCACTAAAAACCAATTAGAACAATACTGCTATTTCCCAAAGCAATATAACATTCTTAGAAATGAATCTAATAAAAGATGCCCAAGCTCTTTCAGGAAAAATTATGAAACGTTACTGAAGGCCATAGCAGAAGATTTAAATAAAAGAGATATACCATGTTCATGAACTGAAAGATAGTCAATTCTCTCCAAAGTCATCAATAAACTCAATGTAATGCCAATCAAAATTGTAAAACAGGATTTTTCATAGAATTTGACAAGCCAATCATATAATTTATCTTGAAGAGTGAATGATCAAGAACAGTTAGAACAGTTTTGAAAACAGTCACAATAAGACTGGGATCCCCATAATGGCCAGCTGCCAAAAAAAGTGATAACTCTGTGTCATGGGTTTGGATCCTGGTACCAGACAGCATGCCCTGCACCCTCCCCCCCACCCCGAAAGAAAAGAAAAAGATCACAATAAAATAATGTGTCTTACTAGATATTATTTGTATAAAGTGATAAGACAACATAGGCTCAACATAGGGATTGACTGATATACCAACAGAATAGATGAGAAAGCTCAAAAACAGACATATGTACATAGAAAATACTGCATATCACAGAGGTGGAATTAAAAATCAATGACAAAAGGGTGGTGCTAGGACAACTGGTTATCTACATGGAAAAAGAAAATAAAATTAGATCCCTACCTCATGCCATACATGAAAGTAGTTTTCAGATAAAAATGTACAAAAAGCAAAGATTTGAAACTTCAGATAAAAGTAAAGAATATTTAAGGCTTAAAATTAGGAAAAGATTTTCTTAAATAAGACACAAAAAGGATAAATCTTAAAGGAAAAACTTGGTCAATAAGACATCAAATTTATAAATTCTGGCACCTCAACAAAACCCATAAACCAAGCTAAAGATCCAGAGAAAAAGTACTTTTAAAAAATCTGCCATATAGGCCAGCCCGTGGCTCACTCGGTAGAGTGCGGTGCTGATAACACCAAGGCCACAGGTTCGGATCCTATATAGGGATGGCCGGTTTGCTCACTGGCTGAGCGTGGTGCTAACAACACCAAGCCAAGGGTTGAGATCCCCTTACCGGTCATCTTTTAAAAAAAATAAATAAATAAAAATAAAAATAAAAATAAAAAATCTGCCATAAAGTACTTAAAAGACAAATAACTCACAAGATATTAAAAAAGATATATAAAGAGCATCTATAAATTTATCTAAAAAGACAAAGAACCCAAAAGAAAATGGGTAAAGAATATCAGGTAATTCACAGAAGAAACCTGATGTGTCAAGACACGTGAAAACTAGCTCAAGCTCCCTAGAATTCGGGGAATTATAAATTTAAAACCTAGAAGGCATTTCATATCTTTCTGATTGGCAAAAATTAAAATGTTCAGTTCTGATAAAAAAAATGTAGAGAAATCGGACTCTCATACCTTGCAGATGGGTAAGTAAATAGGCACAATCATTAGGAGAGCAATTAGCAGTATCTAGCAAAGCTAGCAAAGCCTGTACCCTCCTTCTCAGCTATTCCTTTCTGCTCATATACTCTAGAGAAACTTCCTTTCACACAGCATACATGGAGACATGTATAAGAACATTACTGCAGGGCCGGCCTGGTGGCGCACTGCTACAGTGTGCCGCTTGGGAGTGCGGCGGCGCTCCCGCCAAGGGTTCGGATCCCACATACAGACCAGCCGCTCACTGGCTGAGCGAGGTGTGGGTGCAACACCGAGGGTTGCGATCCCGTTGCCGGTCCCGGTCCGGTACGGGCGCGACACTGAGGGTTGCGATCCGTTGCCGGTCACGAAAAAAGACAAAAAGGAAAAAAAAAAAAAAAGAACATTACTGCAGCATTGTTTGAAATAGTAAAAAATAAGGAAGAATCCAATGCCTATTAAAAGGAAAATGGATTAATAAGTTATGGCATATTTACATACCAGGTGAAATAAGTGAGCTAAAATTATACTGTATCAACATGGATAATATTCAGAAGCATAATGTCTAGAGTAAAAAAGTTACAGAATAACTGCCTGTTATGAGACAACTGTTCTTATGGTTCTCAAGCTTTAGTATGCATTGGAGTCATCCGAAGTTTCTATGAAAACATAGAAGGCGAGGCCCTGTCCCCAGACTTACTGATCCAGCAGGTATGGAGTAAGCCTGAGAATGAGCATTTCTAAAAAGTTTCTAGGCCACGTGGGTTTTGCTGGTACAGGGATCACACTTTGAGAGTCACTGATACAGAGCTTTGCACTCTATTTTCAGGGTCCAAAGCATATACAGAATATACGATTGGTTTAAAAGCCCCAGAGAACCATGTTATAAACTGTACTCATCTTGCACCTGATCCCAGTTATCATTAATGTAAGTTGATTGGCGTCTGTTTTTTACAGCCTCAGGACATATTCTGTAATAGTAATTTTTAAAAAATGTTTTTGTTTATTTATTTTCAGCTTTTTCTTTTAATCACCAATTTTTTTTTTTTTTTTGGCAGCTGGCTGGTATGGGGATCTGTACTCTTGACCACGGTGTTACAACACCATGCTCTAATCAACTACGCCAACCAAACCAGCCATCCTTTAACAATAATTCTTAACTGGAAAGTTTTATTATCCTTTGCCCAGAAAAACCAGCATGGATCTTTCATAGGTTGGCAGGTTTAGAACTTCTGTTCTATAGCAAAAGACCCATAGAGACCCAGATTCCTTCCTACTAAACATGAAACGTGAAGAGAGAGACAGCTTGAAAGGCAATACACACTCTCACAGGTGTAAAGAACTAAGGCCTAGCGCCAGTGCCAAGAGTCTAGAGCAAGGGTCAGCAAATTTTTTTGTAAATGGCCAGATAGTAAATATTCAAGCTTTGTGGTCTATAAGTTGTGACAGCACAACTACTAAACTCTGCTGTTGCAGAATGAAAGCAGCCATAGACAATATGTAAATGAATGGGTGTGGCTGTGTTCCAAAAAAACTTTTGTTTGCAAAACCAGGTAGTGTTGGCCAAGGTTTGCTGACCCATGGTCTAGATGTCCAGCTTAATCCTTAAGACACTGTGACCTTAGGCAATTCATTTATTCTTACCAGATCACTTTACAACCTTGCAAGATGGAGATCTGATTATTATTTATCTTACAAAGTCAATGAAACAGTCAAATAAGGACGTGAAATGGAAAAGTTGAAAAGTACCAAAGGAAGGTATAGTGTCTCTGAACTACCCCTACCTAGTAACTTTACCTACTGAGGCCGGTCTACAGTAACTACAATATTACTCAGTACAGCAAAAGAATATAGCCTTCTGGGCTGGGGAGTCCAGAATGAAAGAATATAAAAACATATACCTGAAAACTACCCTAAACTGAATGGAAATACTGTATTATGTTATTGCCAGACTGGGAATCAGGAGACCTAGCTTCTAATTCACCACCATGTGCCCTTGAATAAGTAACCACACTGTATTAGTCTGTTTCTCATCTATACAAGAAGCTTTGGTCTCTACATGTCTCTCTCTACCTAAAATTCTGATCCCAACCTTCTAATTTTCTTTTTTTAATGATTCAGAATATATTATAGAGTTCTATTGTGAATGTCACTTAGAACAAACAGATATGTAAAACTGCAAGTTAACATAGTTCTGGTTAATAGTTAGAATACTGTATTTTGTTAATTACATATAGACAGCTAAATAAAAACATTAGTGCCATTTAACTTTAGCCAAGGAAGAAAAGTTTACAGTTACAGCTTATAAAATGTGTTCAAATTCTGGCTTTGCCACTAATATGAGATCACATATAAATTATATAATTAGGTATGAGATCATGGATAAACTATATAATTTTTTGGAGTCTAATTTTCTCATCTTTTTTTTTTTTTTGAGACCGGCTGCACCGCGCTCAGCCAGTGAGCGCAGTGGCCATCCCTATATAGGATCCAAACCTGTGGCGGGAGCGCTGCTGCGCTCCCAGCGCTGCACTCTCCTGAGTGCGCCACGGGCTCGGCCTTCTCATCTTTGAAATAGAGACAACAACACATACCTCAGAGGACTGTTCTGAGGATTAAATAAGGCAGTGTAAGTGAAATTTTAGTGTATTACCTAGCACACAAAGGGCATTCATTCATTCATTCATTCAATAAATAAATGAGGCTCTATTGTGTGGACATACAGTGGTAGATAAAACACACATGGCCCTGCTCTTAAGGAGCTCATAATGTAACAGCAGAGATGGACACCCAACAATCTATTTAAAAAACAAACAAACCAAAAAAAACCCCAAAACATTTCCAGGACAGAATAAATTTTTTTTTTTTTTTTTTTTTTTTTTTTTTTTTTTTTTT